TCGCTATTTTTGTATGGCCTGTTGCATTAAAAATGGAATTAAATAAGAAACTAAATTGTTTAATTTGGATTAATTCCAAAGGAAGGCTTCGTTTCAATTGATTCTTTCATATTTTTTCGAAGTTTATTAAAACAGCAATGTGTATTGAAATTAAAAGACTAGGATACCAGAGGATAAATAATAGACGGACTTTAACTCGTTCCCAAGCTCTTTACATTTTATGTGAACTTAAAATGACCTTCATATAATAATCTTGGATCATACCAATTAGAACAACTTGTACTATTTATTGTTATATTGATAAAAGAAGTTAAAATTAACCGAAATCTGTAAGGCCGTCCAATTGGAAATGTTCCATTGAAAAAACCACCTTAAAGGCGGCACATTTAATTCAATTCCGACCTTGGTTTATGGCATACTCCAAAATCACGGCCGGCGCAGCTGTGGCTGCAGCTGGAAGGGCCACATCCCATACCGCTTTGTTTAAAATTTCACGCTTTGCCAGCGAACGATCATCACCATCATCATTGGCGACAATAAAAGTTATATACGAGTGTACCAACTACTCGTATACTATATAGCCTGTGTGTGCGTCGCATTGTATGTAACTAGTTATTGATCGATCGCCTCATATCGAATTTTTATTGTTGTTTGTCATTTCGTACGCGTCTGCTGTTTTGCTGCAACTGCCGCCACCATGGATGGCATTGTCTGGTATGTTTTTGTAGCTCCCTTCAGGTTCAGGCTTACTTAGGGGTTGTTGGACATCATTGCATGAACTGCAGTTGCAGTTTTGCGCAGGGACCGACTATTGAGGGTAGCTTTTTCCCTGTGCCCTCTTAATCAACCCTTAGGAATGTTCGATGCGCCCGGCCTGCAGGGAATGTCCTGGTTATTGCTTCTCACAATTTCACAATTATTTGTACATTTTGTTGGGAAAATCAAGTTCACGTTTTTCTATTTCTCTAATTTAACTATGTTTGTTGTGCATTATATTGGATCAGGGGTATTAAGGAACTTGTGTCTAGTAGACAAAAAAATGTTTCCCAGAATAGATTTGTGATTTACAATTGGATTAAGGAAACAAGTTTTTGCACACTAAAACTATTTTTAAAGTCTACCATTCATAATTAAAAATTGGAAGACTTACAGAAGACTTAGACAATCAAATAATATTTAACACAAATTAGTCGAATTTCGTAATGTTAATGTTATCCAATAAGAATGATTAACTTAACTATAGTTTTTGCTATACAAAATTCTTAAGAATTAACTATTCATAGCAAACTTGTAGAACAAGTCAACCTTATTTGCATCAGACCCTACGTTAAGAATCAAAGTTTGCGAAGACAAAAATATATGGATAGTAGAGCGTGAATGATGCCAACAGGCAGCCCATTTAGATTTACGATCTCATTTGTCTGCCAATGTAAACGGTAATCTCTGCAAGCCGATCTCAGGCTCGGGGGCCAGTTGTGAGATACGCAGCACAGTGCAACATGCAACGGTTAATTGTTTTCCATTTGTCGGTACGCATTTATGGCCAGCACCGCCCACTGTGCGTTGCACCCGGTGTTAATTTATAGCGCCGTCGTTTAAGGCACTCCATAGCGGACCCTGCCCTCCTGTTCGGCCCCTGGCATATATCACAATGATCTATCGTTGGTACAGAACATATAACACTTTCCAGCTGCTGCGACCAGCCGAGCTTAGTTGGCTTACATAATGTGTACACTGGCAGAAATAATGTATTTGTTAATTATTTCAGAAAAATAATCGAAATATTGAATATTTGTTTTCTTCTAAACTTCGACGGATGTAAAGAGTCTATTAAATTAGTGTGACTGGTCGGATAATACAAAGTTTCCATGATATTGAAAGTGGGATTGAGCTACAATGGCTTTCTGAACAAGGTTGAACAAGGTTCCAATGAGGTTGTAAGAAGTGATAAATCGATTCAATAAAGCAGCCTCCCATTCTAAAAAAAAGTCTACAAATCCTATATTCGAACACAATTCATGAAAACTATAGCAAAATGAAAGAATCTACGATATAGCTAACAATTTCAGCCATAGGAAAAAGAGATAGAAGCACGAGCCCTGAGTCTAGGGCCTAAACGATTAATCCCTTACTTATTAAGCATATTATATTTGTCACGTGGAACTATTAACTACCTACCTACCTTAATAAAGCTAAAAATTCTATATAACTCTATTACATCACGATGATCATTCTTCCCTGTAGCAGTCGTACCCATAAAATAAAGGTGTGAGGCAACTGGATAATCCATCCTATTGAAGACTAGAAGCCCTATATGGGGGCGTATTAGAATCTAATTTACAGTAAAGAAATTTGCGAAATATCAGTCTCAACAATTAAATTCAGGAATGAAACCATCAAAATACATTTAAAGCAGAATTTTAATTCTTAATTTAACATTTTTTTGGAGGACCTTTTATGTGCTTATCCCAAAATTTGGTTGGAATTTTTTTTAAACTGTACGGCACGATGCCTGAAAACTGGTCCGACAAAGCGAACTCATTGTCGTCATTATAGTCACATTATTAGTCGCGCTTCGTTGGCCAAATTAATTGTTGTTCTTGTTGTCGTTGCTGTCAGGCCCACTAGCGCGGTGCAACAAAAACGTCAACGTTCATTGAACAGTCGCGGGACGGGGACTTCAGCTGCAACGGGGCACATAATGACCGGACCAGCATTGAACTAAAGAGACTGACTACGACCACGATCTCGATCTATCTACCTACGAGTAACATATGTATGTACATGCTTGTATGTAGTCGGGAGTAGGTTTTATTGCGCATTTTGTAGGTGTGCTTTATGACTTGGTCGTTGGGAAGGCGTCGGTCTAGTTCACTGCCCAGATTGCAGTGACATTCAAATTTCGTGGTTAGTTATAATGACATTTGAGGCACAATTGGACCGACTGTCTGACAGACTGACATGGTTCTGGCCTAACGCGCTCGCTTTTGGGTTTTATAAATTTCCAACTTTTTATTACCGCTGCCGGAAATTCTAAATGTTGTTGTTCTCTGACACTTTTGCGCTGTACAAAAAGTAAAATAGACAACTACAGCTGAGACAAAAGAAAAAAAAAGGAGAAGAGCTTAATGTGCTTGCTCGGGGCGAGGCCGGTTTTTCGGGCCCATGAGAAACACGTGTGTGGGCCATAAATCTATTTGGATTACCTACAGAAGTCAACTTCAGACGCCAAACGCAAACTGCAGCTTCCAAGCTTACCCGCATTTCCACAAAAAAAGAAAGAAAAATTTCAGAGCTCAACTGGAATACGAGTAAGCAAACAGTTTGTTTGCAAAGTCGTCCTTCGTCCAGACAAACAAACATTCCAACAACAAGGATCGACAACCTGCAATGGGCGTTGGGTGGCGAATGTGGTCTGTCCATCCCTATTGGGTGGTTGCTATCGATTTTTAGTGCTACTGTTGATGTTGTTGTTGTTGTTGTTTTGTGTGTTGCCATGGCAGACCACAACGGCGATGACGCTATCGACTGACGTCGAACCAGGACGCTGTCGTACTCTGACGATGTTGGGGTAGTCTCAAGTTCGTCTGCCAATTATTTGCCGCTTATTAGCGTACGGAAACGGGCATAGGGTGGATGCAGGGAGAGGAGGAGGTGGCGGTGACAGTGGCAGTGGCAGTGATGGTTACGGTGACGAACGTCGTCCTCGCCATCGTTGCGATATTGGTGGTGTTGGCAGCACGTGACTTCTTGCAACTCAACTGTTGTTTGCATATCAAATGCGGCAGGCGGCCGGCGACAGGGTTGTTCCTACTCATCCTTCCCATTGATGACTTCGGCTTTAAAAACACACTCTCAAGTGTTTCCCTAATGTTTGGCCATTATTTGAAGTGCAGTGCAGGGACGATTGCTAGGCCGGCTTTGCATAAGCATTGGAAAATTGTATTGTACACCGCTTGGCGAAATTTCTAGAAGTTCGATGTCTACTGTGTGAAATTTTAGCCGACCAAAGCCACCCCAAATGACCGATGAACTCATATTCGGCTGTCCCGAAACTGTATACCCTTCACTGTGGTTTACAACAAAAACAATATTTAATGTGTCCGTGCTTTCTATTATTTCAATAAAAAATATTTAACAAATATATAAATACAAATAAAACAAATTTGTCATACTTAACTTCTTTTTAATGACACCACGATGACGAAATAACTGATTAATATAACTTGTAGTTTCTAATTTTACTGGGATTTTAAATTCATATTTTTGTAAAAAAAATTGTTTTTGTAATACAAAATATTCCATCTTCAATACTATTAATTGAATGTACTTAATATGAAGAAGTAATTTATAGGCTTCTCTATGCATCTAGGGCTTTCTAAAAATCCGACTTTGTCTAAAACCAAACTCTATTAGAAAAAGATAAAAATAAAAATATATTTTTTAAAATGTGTGAAAATAAGTGTGGTTACTAAAAAATAGCATCAATACTGTTGCATAGTAGTATCTCTATACATAAACCCCAAAACTCGTATATAAAATATGTTTTCGATGCTTTCTTGTGGGTGTTACAAAAGTACAGACAAAAACAATAAACCGTCACAATTTTCAGTAAAGTGTATAAAAATCACTGCCACTCACTGTCCAGGGACCGACGCTCCCCACACCACACCATGAGAACTAAAAGCGACCCGCTAAGTCGTTCTTAATCCTTTCGGTGTGTCTCACCGGCTTGGTCAGCGAATTTTAGCATGGCAACTGGAAAATACAAGAAGAAATGCAACCCCCAAACGGCTATTCATAAGATATACATACATAGTATAATCTGAAGCTGTGGTCAGAACCACTTTTGCTCATTTGTTTGTTATACAATGCAAATTGTTCAAAAAATATTTATAAACTTATTTTGCCATTCACGTTTACGCACACAGATAACTGCCGTTTATGAGCTCTCTCATCGCCTGCACTTGTAATCGTTCTCTCGTTCGTTGGTACATCTCTCTCTCTCTCTTTCTCAGCACGACAGAGTTTGGCGGCTTTTCGCTAGTTGTTTTGTGTTTTGTTTTTTTGCCGCCTTTGCTTATTCGTTTTGCGGTTGGCGTCGTTGCAAGTTGATTTTTGTTGTGAGTGCGCGAGTCTAGTTCCCGTTTTATAAACATAAATACATGCATATGTACATACAACATAAGATTGTTATGTTGTAAGCGTTTTTCGATGTTCTTAAAGTTTTTGCGTTTGAAATTTGCAATTGTGTTAGAAAAGTGTGGTGTCGGACGAGTGTCAGAAAAAAACCGCACGACCAAAAAACAAAGGACGCGCACAAGCGTCGCGTGATGCAAACAGCTGTGAGACAGCAAGGTGCAAAAGGAAGAAAAAATAAAGAGAAGAGGTAAATTTTGCAGTTGGGAAACCAATCATAAATAGCATATGTATGTATGTATGTACATACATATATGTATGTACTTTATATCAGTGCATTTTTATGTGCGTATTTTGGCACTTTAAACATTTAGAGCAACACTTGTGTTTTTGTGGCTGCAGAACACGGCAACATTGACGAGAGTCATATTTTGCATATTCCTCCCAAAGAGTTCGTGAAGTACCAAGTTTGTTTGTGTTTGACAGTAAATATCGCCACTTTTATATAAAGTTGTAACAACAAGTATTTATGTATGTTGTTGTCTAGATATACATACACAACTGATGCTGTGGGTCCGAAATAAACATAGACAAAATTATTCCTTTGTCTCATCAAAATACACAGATTGTCGATAACATGGGACAACATGGGACAGTCGCAGAGAGGCATACTACTGCTTTTATTTCCAAACTGCTTATTTTGGTACAAACGACTTCCCTAATTTATTGTCCTTAATATTATAATGCAATTAAAATCTAATGAATATAAATTTGCTCATTTGGATGCACTTGGCTATATAAGCTAACCGTCTTGATTAAGTACCCGCGATTTATCTCAACCACCCCTTAAAAATGTTCTTGGAATCTACTGCTCAGTTCATTTGTTGTAGCAGTTTGCATCTCTCGTTTTATCCTATATCTTCTATTTGATTGAAACAGTAGCCCCCATACAATACAATCATCCATCTTATTATGTTACCACCAAAGCTCTGGTGCATTATCATTGAAATCAGACAAACAAAAGGCAAACTCTAGCTACTTTCTGGCGCTAATTTCGTTGAGCGTCGCAGCCCTTTTGAAGAGGACAAATACATACTGCAAATACTGTGTTACAAAAGGGGGGTGCACCCCAATCAGTGGTGAGGACTTCACGCTTCCATGGCTACCAGACACAGCGAATGTCAGAAATCAATGCAGGCACTACAATTATCCTTTGCGCGCAGTCAACAACAAAAGCAAGCACTATGCGCATGGGCCCTGCTTTTCTTTTTATTCTGTGCCAACAATGACAAAGGCAAAGACAGAGGTAGAGGAGCAATTGTCGCAACGGTAGCTCGCACGCTCAGTTGGCATGTGTAGTCAGTCAGTCAGTCGCTTTTGTTGCCAATTTGGACTCGACGCTTACTGTTTTTGGACCAGACACATTTGTACGTGTCCGCTGCTCCCACGGGGATACAATAACAACTCAATATAATGCTGCGCCAGTCGATTTTCAAACCACCGAACGAACCAACGAACGTCACACTGCCAGGAGGAAGTAATAAAAATTGAACGAAATTGCTGGCAACAACAAAAAAGTCAACAGCAGCCCAAAATGTTTGCCAAAATCAAATTTACAAGCCGAGGCCCATGTAACGACAAACGCCCTCGACAACCCAACATCCATTATTGAATGTTATTGAGCTCTAATGGCTGTTCGCTCCACTCCCTTAACTTTTTCCATATTGATGACATATTCCCGGGCGTGCTGTTATTTGCATATGTAGGCAGAAATTGTAGAATTCTGATTCTGTCAACAAGCTGGGAGCACGGGACCTGTGAATTGTTGCAAAAGAAAGCGCGCAAGTCATGCTGGTCAGTAACTGTGTTGGGAACACTAACTTTCATTACAAAGTAAATTTCCAACTAAGCTACAAATTAACTCTACCGAGAATCAAATTTCATGCCATGGTAATAAAGCGCTCTCTGCTAACCTCCAACAGTACGGCCGCAGCCTGTCCAAGCCGTGGGTCTGGGTCGAGCAACCGACCGAAAGATCGACAGGCCGACGGACCGTCTGCCGTGACTTTTCCAAACGTTGGCTCGAATGGTAACGCTGACGGGAGAAAACTTTGTACCAACTGACTAACTGACAGGCAGACACTCATTGTTGTACAATATTTTATTGTTACTGCTGTTGTTTCTACACAGCATATAGTATTTTGTTGTTGTTGTTGTGTGTGCCGCTTCTATCATTGCAATTCATTGTATGTATGTGGACGTGGTTCTCTGTATCTTTCAGTTGGGTATCATGCCGTGGATGTGGATGCACTCAAGCGGCGCAACTGTTGCCTTCTGTCTATGTATCTGTGGTACTCATATCTGTTACGATGCATCAGGCCAGTCAGCAAGTTAATTGTAAGCTGCACTTTCTGTTGGACGCAAGTCGAAAAGTCCGCAGTATACGCTCTTAATGAAGCTTTATGCGTTTCTAATGCAGACAATTGTTTTAGATACATTTTTCAAACTTGAGCCCCCCATTTCAAAGTCCATGTATTGATGCAATTGATTGCATTTCACTGTTGTTTTTGTCAGCAGTTCGTCTTCTTTGGGGCGCATCAAAAGCGAAATTAGTGCCATAAACCAGTCGGATGAAAAATCTTGTTTGGCTACATGCTGAGCCTAGATCAGAGGGGAGCCCGTAGCACAAATGCTATCTTCATTATATGTCAGACAAAAAGAAGCATTTCAAAATTATACGAAATAGATAAACCGGCTCAGTAACAGAAAATCCTGGCAGAATTGATTATTTCTTTGGGAATACTTACATACATGTACATGTATGTATTACTAATCTGGTTTGCTATATCCCCTTCTTATCTGTCTACGTTTTTATAGGAAGATCTACATGTCATGAACCAAATATTACAATATTCTGTTTTGAAACCTTTGGTGAATTCCACTGTTTGCCACTGGAAGAGTCCTTGATGGAAATATAATGAATAAAAAGTTCGATGTTTCATTTTTCCGCTTGACATTAATACTATATTTATCAGCCAAGGAACCATTCCTTTTATTTGCCTTACATATTATTGACTGTCCTTTTTCCTCATAAGTTAAGCCAAGTGAATGTTGCAGATCCTCAGCGCTAAAAAACATAAAATTGTATTGTACATTATTTTCGGGTGTTATGTTTGAACTCTAAATTCATATGATACCTCTTCGATTAATTAGCTTAATTAGCGAAGAGTCCAATTAATTTGGAATGTGAGTTTCAATATATGTAGTTTGTGGTTTCATATAGTACTAGAACTGAACAGACTACATTCGAACAGACAGCATTGATATCACAAATTTTGTGAGTCGGTAACTGAGTGGGTTCTTGACCCCACAATCATCAACTGCTGCTTTGGTGTGCAATATGCAGAGTATGCAGATTCCCACTATCATAGTTATTTTGCATGATAAAGTCTGCACACGAAGCTAATTAAATTATCGCCCATCTGGCAGCAGAGATGGAGATGTCAAGTGCACGACACTCAATCCGCACAAGTAAGTACTTGTAATCTAATAGATTCTGTGTAAAATCGTTCTCCATGCAACTAAGTGGGCACTTAATGGTCGTTGGCAACGGACAGTGGAGTCGCTTGAAACTCGAATATGGGACTATTGAGGCAAAGCTCGCGTGTCACTTTGTCAACTTTATTTAACTCGACTCGGCTCAGTTCAACTTTACATTATTTAATTACTACAACAACAAGAACAACAGCAGCTATAAAAGCAACAATTGCGACAAGAACTGACCGTAACTATATGTATGTGTATGTGCCATAAAAATATTTTACGCGCGCATTTCTGAGTATAAATTTCCTGCATTGTAGAGTAGAATGGGTGAAGTGGCCGGGGGGGGAGGTGGCTGTCGGTGAAGAGGACAGTTTTCAGTCGACAGTATAGTGCGGTGCACCGACTCCAGCAATTTTCAGCATTATAATTTGCTTTGAATTACAGACATTGCACAACAACAGCAAAGGCACGAACAGCGACTGCGTTCATTGAACTTTGGCAGTGGCAACAGCAACAGAAATAACAACAACGGAAAACAGCAACAACAATAGGCATAACACAATAATTATGCATAAAGAACGCGATTATTTTTGCACTTATTAAATTGTGGCACATTGCAACCTCATTGTAATGATGAAACATCATAATTACCATCACCATCGCCATCATCTGCAGTGTTGTTGTGCTCTTTGAGTAGGCAGCTGGGTTTTCCACTCGATCAACTCAATTGCTGTTCACGCCACTTGAGATCAGCCTCAACATCAGCCAGAGAGTAGAGCGAAGATGCTGCCCCCGTTCGTTCGTTGGTCGTTCGATGTCCATTCCGTCTGTCCAATCAGTTGGAGTGTCCGTTTTGCTACAAATTGTTGCCGGCAGCTATTTTACACGCCATTGAGCTACAAATGCTCCATCTCCAAGTATAGCAACTGGCCCATAACACTAAGCAACTAGCTTGAATATTCGCAAAAACTCAAAATTTCCCAGGAGCTCATATATGAAAGTATGACTGTTTTCTAGAATAAATAAAAATTTAGATTTTTTAAATTTACAAGATTAGACGATCGTCTTATAAGTACGACTAGCTGGCAGTCATGTTGGCAGCATCTGTTGCTCTTAGTCTACTAGATAGATATTAACAAATATTAAAAGATCAGTCAGCAAACTATCGAAAACCCTTGGTACACTATTAAAAAATAAAAATTTTGCGATAAATTTCTTATGAAGAAATGACTAAGAGAGATGACCAATACTGAAGGTTGAAGAAGGGATGAATATAATTATAAGTTTTAATGATTACAAGATTTTCCATGTTATTGCCATCATCTTATAAGCACATCATCTGGCAGTCATATAGCATCTGTTGCTCTTAGTCTACTAGATAGATATTAACAAATATTAAGAGAGAGACAGCAAACTAGCGAAAACCCTTGGTACACTATTTAAAAATTTAGGGATAATTTTCTTATGAAGAAATGACTTCCTAACAGAGATGACCAATATTGAAGGTTGAAGAAGGGATGAATACAATTATCAGCATGAATGATTAAACTAGTTTTCAAATTATATAACTTTCCAACCCTACACCTCTTGTTGAAATAACGTTTATTAAGAATATATATACATACAAAATCGAAACTATTATACATATATTATACATATATATTTCACAAACAAGTACCAAAACCAGTATCAGTAGCGACAAAAAAA